GGGGGGCCGGGGCTTCTTTCCCGCGGCCCTGGGCGCTTGCCTCCTTGGGGAGGTGGCAGGCATCCTGGGCTGTAGTCCGAGTTTCTTAGTACATCCTCCATCCTCTGGTTTTCTATCATCATGAGACAGATCAGGCTTAGAACCGAAGGCACCTAACAAATATAGAGCTATGATTATTGTTTTATGAAGAACCACACAGACGCACCTTCTACCGATGTAGACTGCCACTTTTGTGAGAGGATTGCCTTGTTCCCTTTAAAATGCGCTTATTTATTGTTGACTGTGCCAGTGGCCAGACTCCATACTTTTCAAAAAGTGGAGTTTTTAATAATGCGATATAATTGACATATAACATGGTATTAGTTTTAGCCCAGGACGTGTTTGGAAGCGGTAGCTTCCTGCCTAATGACCTTTAGCTGCGCGCGTCAGGATTACTTCTGTTTTCAATAAACGTTTATATTTGCAGGACTTTAGTAAATTTAGTGCTTTCACCTATATGAATTATTTCGCTTAATTTCACATAGAACAACTACCCAGTCAGTCCCGTGGTTATTCCAGTTTTCAGATGAGGAAACATGTTAAGCGTGGAGTTTCATCTCTAACCATGAGGTGAACGATGGCAGCCTCCCTGTGCCGTTGCCTCCTGTTCTTGCTCTCCACTTCCTCCAGAGTCTTCTGGAAAGCGAGTCAGTCCGTGACACTGTTCATCTTAAAAACCTTAACAGATGGTTATGGAAAAAATTCAAAATCCTCAGGAGAAGAACCAAGTTCCAAATTTCCTCTCCAGGCTCATCTTTCCTGAGCCTCAGGTATGGGTGGGTTTGTGGGACCCCAGAAACAAGAGCCCGTCACCAATAACCAGGGATCTCGTCTTTATTCCTGGGAACCTTCCTGTCCACACAAGTGGTATGAGAAGTGAGAATCTAACCTGCGACTCATGGCCAAATGGGCAGTTGTGTGTTAGGTTACGTCAGTGGGAGGCATCACAAGTACCTGAGCTTCTTCCAGGTCATGTAAATTTTGGATGCCAAAAAAGAGGGCACCCTGTCACTTCTTAGCTTGTGACCTTGAATTCACCAGCCCTTCTGTTGATAATCATTTGGGCCCAGGAAAAATGTTGTAAGATAAATACTTGATTCATTCTAATCATTTAAATCATTTTCTAGATACAGAATTTCCCTTTAATACGGTTAACCCTTTCAGTGACATATTTATATGTGTAATAAAGAATTTGATGTAAGTTTCTTGATTCCCCTTGAGGGAAGCTTTTTGTCTTGTCACCTCTTTGCTCAAAAGTGGTCAGTGGCTCCCCATTCTACTCAGATTAAAAATCAAAGTCCCCCAATGAGTCTACGAGGCCCAACAAGGATCTGGTCCCATGATATCCTCCCTGCCTCACAGTTTGCTCTGACTCCATCTCTCTGACTCCATCTCTCATTGCTCTCTCCAGCCCTCTCTGTCTGCTCCACCTCAGTCTTTGCATGTGCTGTTTCATCTGCCTGGAACACTTTTCTCCCAGATACCCACATGACTCTCACTTCTTTTGGACTTTACTTAAATGCCATTTTCTCAATGAGACTTGCCCAATTATGGTTTTGATTCTCTTGACTATTTTTATACTTCTAAATCTTTCCAGGGTTAAAAGACATTTTATCTACCAAAGAATATAATTACCATGTCAGTTAGCCGAAGTTCCTTATGACCCAGAGATTTTTGCTAAGGAGACAAATGAGATTTGTTGTAGTGACTCTGGTGAGACACACTAAATTCTAGATTAATGGCTGTATATATCTTAAAAGAGATGGTCTTCTAGCCCATAACCTTAATTCAAGTTATACTCATTATCTGGATCTTCAGTCTACTCATAGAAATACATGTTTCCCTTTATTCCAAAGACCTTTGAACTTAATACTTCTTAAAATATGTGATTGTCTTTTCCATCCATCTTTTTAAAGATCTTTGAACTTTATGGGAAACTTGAATTCTCTAATACTCTTAGGACTATTATAGATATTTAATTGTCATAGATATTTAAAAGCTTTCCAATTGAATTTTAGATGTCCCACATGAATTAGTATAAGTTGTCTCAACTTCTACTGTCAATCTACTGAAGGAAGAAAATTTAAAACATATTACCTATTTCCATAATTTAATCACATATTTTGAAAATAAACCTTTCTTGATGAGTTAAGAGTACTATTATGAATGCAAATTGTGTTAATGCCCTATAGATATAAATGTTACCAAGTTGTAACTGACTTCAGTTTATAGGACATTACTATTTTCTTGGAAAGCTCCCTGTTCTGCTCCTTTCTCTGTCGTGGCTGCCTGTCTTAGTTCAGTTCCTCACCATTTCTAGCTTTGACAATTGCATTTAGCTTTTAAATTGGTGTTCCTAGCCCTGCCTCTCCCACATATTTCTCTTCCTCCATGCTGTCTCAGATTTTCTTCTGGATATGCAAATTGATCATCATCATAATACCTAATTTTTATTGAGCCCTAGCTAGCTACATGCCAGGCCTTGTGCTAGGCATTTTGCGTACACTATGGTCCAAAGAAGAATGCAAGACTTATGAATGTAAATTTAAGATCAGTCAGCCTTAATTCCATTTGGTTCACTTATTCCTTGTGCAGTCTTGGACATTTTTTTCTAATTTCTCTGTGCCTCAGTTTCTTTATATGACGTAGATCACTGCAGTACTTGCCTCATAAGGCTGTTGTGAGGCCTGAAATTAAGATAATGAATATAGAGCATTTAGCACAGTGCCCAATAAACATTCAAAATGTGGACTAAAAAGAGGTTATTTGGAAAGTAATCTCACAGGCTGATCTGATCATAAATTCCTAACTGGGCAGGTCATGGAGGTAGTCATGCCCCAGGCATATAATTTAGTAAAAGGCTATTTTTACTTTAAGCAAGCCCTGCCCATTGTTTCTATGCATCTAGGTTAATGCCTCTTTGAAATGCATTTTTCCAGACTCCTCCTCCTACAGGATGACCACCCTCAAGAGAGCAAATAATCATTACTATCCTGTTATCCCATCCCTGACTTGCTTTCTCCTGCCTTCTTGTAATCTTCCTTATGTCCCCCCCTCAATTCCAAATGCATAAAAGAAGCTGTAAACTGTCATTTCTTGGAAGCATTTATCTCTCAGTCTGTTGAGATCTTGCTTCCAGGTGTAACCTCTGTTAAACTCATAAATTTTTATAAACATTCTTTACTGCTTTGGATGTTCTTACGTCAACAAAAATATTAGCTATTTTTATTGAGATGTAACGCAGACATAAAATGCACCCTTTTAAAATATACAACTCAGTGTTTTTTACTGTATTCACAAAGTTGTGCAACCATCACCACCCTCCAGAACATTTTCACCGCTGCATTAAGAACTCTGTACCCATTAAGTCACCCGTCATTCCTGCATCTCCCTAGCCCCTGACATCTGCTAATCTGCTCTGTCTTATCGTTTGCTCATTCTGGACATTTCATATAATGAAATCATAAAATATATGGTCTTTTGTGATTAACATTTTTCATTTAGCATCAGCTTTCAGAGTTCATCCATTGTAGCATGTATCAGTACTTTATTTCCTTTTTATGGCTGAATAATGTTCTATTATATGGAGACACCACATTTCGCTTATCCATTCACCAGTTGATGGACATTTGTGTTGTACTATTTTTTTGTTTTTTATGAATAATACCTTTATGCATTCGTGTGCAAGTTTTTATGTAGATGTATATTTTCATTTATCTTGGGTGTATATCTCAGGATGGGCTCACACGATCATATAATTTTTTAACAGCTTTATTGAAATATAATTCACATACTATGTAATTCATCTATTTAAAGTGTACAACTCAGTAGTTTTTAGTATATTCATAGGTATGTACAGCTTTCACCACGATCAATTTTAGAACATTTTCATTACCTCAAAAGGAAACCCTGTACCCTTTAGCTATCATGCCAGCATCCCATCACACTTCCCCCATGCCCTTCTCCTTAGCCTTTGGCAATCACTTATCTACTCTGTCTCTCTGTGGTCTTTTGTGATTAGCTTCTTTCATTTAGCTTAGTTTTTTCAAGGTTCATCTACATTGTAACCTGTGCCAGTACTTCATTCCTTTTTAAGGCTGAATAACATTCCTTTGTATGGATGTACCACAATTTGTTTATCCATTTTCCAATTTATGGACATTTGGGTTTTTACCTTTTAGCTATTACGAATAATGCTGCTATAAACTTTTGTATTTAAGCTTCTGTGGGGACATATGTTTTCATTTTACTTGGATTATATATCTAGGAGTGGCATTGGGGGGTCATA